TTCTATTCGTATGACGAAGCTGTAAAAATATATTTAGTTTCTACCTATATATTTGAAAAGTAGACCATCCAAGGTTTCTGATGGTGTTTTTAAAACAAAGTTATTTAAATGGTTTGGCGAAATTTCTGTTATATCCCGCCGGTGGGATAGCCGACTCCAGAGGGTTAAAAAGCTCCTCGGTGGCCGGGCCCCAGGGGTGGATGAGATCCGCCTGGAGTTCCTCAAGGCTCTGGATGATGCAGGGCTGTCCTGGTTGACACGCACCTGCAATATCAAGGTGGACATCGAGGGCAGTGCCTCTGGATTAACAGACCAGGGTGGTGGTCTCTCTTCTTGAAGAGGGGGACCGGAGGGTGTGTTCCAACTATACGGGGATTACACTCCTCAGCCTCCCTGGTAAGGTCTATTCAGGGGTCCTGGAGAGGAGGGTCTGTTGGATTGACGAACCTCGGATTCAGTGTGGTTTTCGCTCTGGCCGTGGAACAATGGACCAGCTCTATACACTCAGCAGGGTCCTTGAGGGTATGTGGGAGTTTACCCAACCAGTCTACATGTGCTTTGTGGACTTGGAGAAGGCATTCAACCCTGTCCCCCAGGGAGTCCTGTGGGGAGTGCTCCGGGAGTATGGGGTGCCGGGCTGCCTTGGTCTGTTTGGTCCCTGTACGACCAGTGTCAGAGCTTGGTCCGCATTGTTGGTAGCAAGTCGGACTCGTTTCCTGTGAGGGTTGGACTCTGCCAGGGCTGCCCTTTGTCACTGATTCTGTTCATAATGTTTAAGGACAGAATTTCTAGGCACAGCCAGGGTGTTGAGGGTGTCCAGGTTGGTGACCCCAGGATTAGGTCTCTGCTTTTTGCAGATGATGTGGTTCTGTTGGCTTCATCGGACCGAGAGCTTCGGCTCTCACTGGAGCAGTTTGCAGCCGAGTGTGAAGTGGCTGGGATGATGCAGGCACTGCATTGGTCTGTCATGGTGAAGAAGGAGCTGAGCCAAAAGGCAAAGCTCTCGATTTACCAGTCGATCTACTTTCCTACCCTCACCTATGGTCATGAGCTGTGGGTAGTGACCGAAAGAACAAGGTTGTGAATGCAAGCAGCCGAAATGGGTTTCCTCTGCAGAGTGGCTGGGCTCTCCCGTAGAGATAGGGTGAGGAGCTTGGTCATCTGGCTCCTCTGCTTTGAGAGGAGCCAGATGAGGTGGCTCGGGCATCTGGTCAGAATGCCTCTGGGACTCCTCCCTGGTGAGGTGTTCCAGGCATGTTCCACTGGGAGGAGGCCCTGAGGAAGACCCAGGACACGCTGGAGAGACTATGTCTTTTGCTGACCTGGAAATGC